ATATATTTTTTTATTCCTATTTTTATTTATATGCGAATCAATTCCCAGCATCCATACAGGATGCACTTAGAGGATCAGCTTTCCTTCATATTTTCTTCAGCTGACCCTCTCTCTCTTTATATAAGTAAATATATAAATAAACAAATATAGGTAGGTTTCAAAACAACTAGTAGTAGTTGCATAAGTTGATGAAGGACTTATAGCAAAGTTTTTCCCACATTCAGATGAGTAAGCCCAAGGATTATAGTGAATTTAACCTAGATTTCGTTTATAAGTAGGTTTTCAAGATTACCAATAAATCATATATATGAGGTGTATTCACCCGATTTCATTTAAAGTGCCAAGGGGACTGATAGTTGAATTTTCCCACTAATCTATGCGTATACCTCACGTTTCCATTGAATTTCACATCGCCTTGCTTACCCAAAAGGCATTCTCATCCAGGATGAACTGCGGTTTCGACCACACCTAGGTCTTTGCAACACTCCCAACGGGACAGGAACCATGACAGTATACACTCTCGACAGGTTACCCACTATGCCACATTTCCACGAGTGCTCTTTGGTGACAGGGCCTAACGCACAAACGAAAATTATGTAGCGTAGTCGACTGCTATAGGAAATACAACAGAATGTGATATGGGAAAATGTCTGGCCTTCTCTAAATTCCCATCTACTCTGTCACCCAAGGGCAATTTCGCGTAGTGGTTGACATGTCGAGATGACACGCTGCACTGTCATGATTCTAGTCACACTGGGGGTGTTAGTAATACATAAGCGAGGTCAACATTGAAACTTATTGAAAACGTCATGTTTACTTAAACGAAAAAAGGATAACACAATTTCTATATCGAATTTGACTTTGTCTTGCCTCTTTCAAAGACTAGGATATTGGCGCGTTTTTTTGTAAACTATGCTTTGCCGCTATGGCAGACGGAAAGCCCATAACAGATTCACCAATGTTCCAGTATGGTGAGCCGTGGACTTATTCGGACAATCAAACGTTTCCCACTCCAAAAGAATGCTGCTCAGGTTTCCAGGAAGGCTAATTCATTAATCTCTTGCAATCAACTATTCGCTTGTAATGAAAAGTTCAAGGTGACGAGCAAAGGTAAAAATGACAATTGTTAGCGTCTCTGGATCTAGCTTCCTTTGGAAATGCTTATCTTCATATAACATATACGAATAAAAGCTTGTTTTCAACGACTTCTTTGACTTATAATTGTTGAACTTTCTTCCATTTGAAGCGATAGTGCACAGCAAAGAGACTCTAGGACTGATCCCACTGGAAGTTGACGATAGCTATGCCGTAAAGTTATCAGTGAAATTTTCATCAAGGCAGTCTGCTCAGAATCCTGTGAATAAATGATGATCTTTCGTCTGTCCCGCCTGATGACGGAAGTCGTCAGAACTGGAAAACATTCTTACGAATAATTTACGCAAACCAGTCTAGGAAAATTAACGGATCATCCCAACATGTTTTTATATATTCTGTGAAATTATGTATTTTTATGGGCTATAGAGTGAATTTGTTGGCTCATCTTATATGTCAACCTAGAAAGATTCACTCATGTAAGCTTGTTTATGCTCGAATATGCGGTCATGTGCACGTAAGAATAGTAAATCAACAGGGATTGCTCCAAGCAATATAAAAAGCTCCAATTTCTCATTTATAAATAGGTTATATATATATATATATATATATGGGATCCATTCATCCTATTTCGCCTAGAAACCCTACTTTAAATGTATTCGATTGGTATTACAGATACACCTTTGCCTTATCGACAATCCTATGAGAGAATGTGATATGAGAAAAGTCTTGGCCTTCCTTGGAATTCACACCTGGTATTTGATAAAAGGGCAGTCCTGGCGGTGTTGCATGGTGGTAAACTTGTCGAGATTGTACGCCTACCAACCAAAATCCGGGTTCGAGTCCAGCTGAGAGTTCAGATGGGACCTGGACGAGGTCAAAAGTGCAGTCGAATCCTTGCTGGATGAGAATAGCTTTTGGAAAAGCAAGGCCATGTGAAATTTAATGGAAACTTAAGGTCTACTCCTATCATTGTGTATGAAAATTAAATAAAACAATGTATGGTGAATACATCTCATACTATGAAGACGAAGTATTTTCTGGCCAACTGGGCTTGTGTCTTCAGCCTCTTCAACAAAACTCACCTGGATTTATAGTAGCTACAACTCCTACAATCCTCATCTCCATTGGTGACCTACTATAATTTTCGTGATCCCTCATACCTACCTTCCCGTATGGACATACTATCATGGCTACTATTTAAGTGGACACAAAGTTGCCCCGTCAATTAGATCAAAGTGTGAAATTTCTGTGACAGAAGCTATATAAATAGAGAATATACTGGCGTCTAGTGGTTCAATTTTTAAACAGAAAAAGGATTAGTCTGTAAAATAAAGTTATTTCTTATCCAGGCCAGACTGCAGTTTAGACTTCGCCTAGGTTCTTGTTCAACATCTACTGCTGCTTTCAAAGGCTACCTCTCCCATTTATGGCAATCTCATTGAAGGTGACAGCCAATGCAGGTTTGACGCCTTAAAATGTCCACCAGAAAATGAACACGATCTGGCCTCGAATTCCGTCGGGAGGCGGCGAGCTCGAATCCGGTCTGGAAGGAAACATCTTTTGGAAAGACTGGAGACATTTGAATACATGCTCAGATTATTGTTGGAAAAGATCAGCTATCAGTTCTTAAATCACCGTATGCGACCGAGACTGTCTCAAGTTATTGTACCAACTTATGCCTTCAGTCTAAAATACGTAGTCATCTTGGCAGTGTCCGAAGAGAAACTCTGAAGTGTCTACCAATTTGCATCAGAATGTGATGAATCTGGCATATGAGGCCTTCATTGAATAAATGTTGTCATGTGCATGCTGAAGCAAAACTTGGGTCTAGCAATGCTTACCGGCATAACCGCTTTGGTATGAGGCCGCATTTCAACCATTTCCCCACCTTTACTTGGGATCTATTCAGACATAGACTCGTGTATGGTACACTGTTTTTTGAAGGTTAACCCGACGACTAGCAAACTACTCGATTCGATAAATGCAAGTGTGGGTCGCTTTTTGCCACCAGTATACAATAAATCTCTTCCCCTTGAGGCGTCTTGGCGACGCTTCTCCAGAATGCTCATCTCCGGATTGTTTAAGAGGCCGTAGTTGAGATGTAATAGGATTCGTTAAGTAGCAGAACTAATCCGTCATGAGATGCATCCGCCAAAAGTAGGACCTACATTGTCAGTCATGGCGAAACCAGATAGACAAGCAGACAGGGCCCGCGAGATCTCGAATTATCGCTATGAGGGAATCTCTCTGTTAGTATAAATTGGGTAAAAATGCAGATTTATGCAAAAACATTTTTATCATTTCAAGCTCTCAACTGCCCTGGTAGAATCAACATGCTGTAGAGAAAAAAGGATGCTTCGATTTCTTAAAATTGCCTTTTTACAGTCTACCTGTTAGCTATAATCAGCGTTCTCCACCTGCGAAATTCGGATTCAAGAGTGCTTAAATGCCCGGAAACCATTTTTTATCGGCAAATTAATCATTCGGTTGGATGTATTAATACAGATGCAGAAAGAAATAGCACCACTTACATCAAATCTTTAGTCAAAATGAGTCAAAATGAAATGGAAATCATGCGCATTAGCAGCAAATTCACGATTTATGGAGTGGCCGAGCACTAACAAGTCATAATAGGAGTTACCAAGGTGCGAGGATCGGGGCGAGATATCGAAGGGAAAGTGAGGCTCGTGAGTGAGCTTGCCGGAGAGGCGATTTAGACAACAAACCGAAGGAGATGCATAAATTTGGGAGGATGCAGTACCGTCGCTTTGCTGGAGGAAGTGACTGGACTTTCAGTGATTCTCTCAAGAACGGTTTCACGTGTTTGGACCCGGACCACTGTTCACCATGCCTCCGTGATGCAGCCTTTGCACACAGACTCATGTCATCCTCTTTTACTCGGCTCCCAACGTGTTTGTACACCCCATCCGGCTTGACACTTGCGCTGGAATCTGAAAGTTTTCTTCAATCCTGTCTGGGCATTTTGGTGGTGTTTGACGAAGATCGACCAGAGAAGTCAATGCCTTAAGCATACTCTCTTACCTTTCGCCAGATCATGGATGCAAAATTGTGTCAAGCTGTACTTCTTCTTTGAAATCGATCTACGGTTTCTAGAACGGTTTGAATGTCACAAGGATTGGAGTACCCCCCGGCTGGGTGCAATTCGCCTTGACAATCTGCCAAAATTACGCATTTGTCCAGAAGAAATTGATTAGCCTTAACAATATTGCCCATTTAGCCCCAGAAAGTTTGGAATTATTGACCAATTGAAGCATGTAAGAAAGCTTGGTTGTGCCGGGCAAAATTATCCTCGCTTCAAAAGCTAAGATGATCAAGATCAGGTGACCTTTGGTTGGGTCGCAGTCACCGTGTGTTAGATGTACACGATTTGACCTCGTTTTCGCACTTTATCAGGTTGTCAAGACGACATAAAAGCATAAGGCAGCCTGTATTGCGTCCTCTATCAGTGCTGGCATGCTTTCTTTCAACCTGGGACTGTTGCATTGGTGAATGCCCAGACATTCTGTCAGCATCTTCGGTGAGCATTTCCATCCTCGGTAATCTGCCGTCCAAAGATATGGTCACTTTATCCATCCTTGCGAGTCCCAATATATCACAGTTGCGTGTTCATTAGGGTGGATTTAATAAGGTGTAAGCACCTCCACCATCGTTCAAGCATACTTTCGGGCCGAGACGTGTGAATAACTCCTCGAGCATGATGGAGACGGTGGCCGGTGGGAGGTATCATTCGGGAACTGGAGAAGGAGGTGATCAGATCTCATCAGACTCACGTGAAAAGGGACACACATGGGGTGAACTGGCACAAACGAGGACACAGAAGTGTAGAGAGGCAAGTCGATCATAAGAAATGGGATTGAGAGACAGCACAATGGGAGTGGGTAAACGAGTCGCAGCAATCGGAGAACAGAAAAGTGGTTAAGCGGCTTACCT